AAATTTGATTTCATCTGAACCATATATCTTTCCATCACAGCTTAGCATCCTCTGTGGCAACACCACAGTGATACACTTCCTCTAGGGATGTGTTCATGTCCTTATGTCTGACCTAACACCCATAGCCAGGCCAGTGTTATGGACTGAATCTAAGACATCTCTGTCATTTAAGCCTCCTGTAAGCTCTTAAAATCTCTTTAAAGACTCTGTCAGATGATCCTACATCCTACTTCTTAAGGTGTAATTATGTGTCACATTCAAGAGAATGCGACACATTTAACCTTTATTATAGACCTTTTACACACATACTGGTAAAAAATGTATAGCCTTAATGCACTGTAAGTCGCTTTGGGTAAAAGCGTCTGCTAAATGCATAAATTATAAATTAAAATAAAATTATTACCTTTTGCTTTGTGTAAAAATATCACATGCTTTCAGATGGAGCAGCATTTACTACACAGAGCCGTAGTTCACTGACAAGTTACGCAAAAAAATCGCAGACGATTTTATTGCACGATTATGAAATCGAAGAAATCGTTCGCGATAATGACAGCTGTTTGCATAGCTTCTCAGTGATCTACGGCTCTGTGAAGTAAATGCTGCTCCATCTGAAAGCATGTGAAAATACCACATTTCATAACATATTTTTACTCATATTTTTATTTGACGCATAACGTCAGTCGAGTGTTTGAAATAAATCCTTCTGTGAGATGATGTGGCTTCTTACACAGAATAAGGCACACAACATATTTCATAGTATTTAAGCAGTGATAAAGGCATTGCATTATAAATATACTTTATTTTAATGAAAATTATAATAATAATAACTCCGATAAACCATATATTGTCATAATCGTGTGTTTATTAGTCACGTTGAATCAATAAAAGCAGTTCAATCTTCTGTTTATCCAGCTACCGCCATAGGCATTTCCTGGGTTTCTTCTGCGAGGCATATTTGGAGTTTCAGCGCGAGAGCGCCCTCTGGCCTTTGGATGGAGATTTACTGCTGATTACAGAACCGTGTTTCACTGAAATATACGCATGACAATCACAGCTTCTGTCGAATTTCGATTCCATTTCGATTTATCATGCAGCCCTAAACAATACTGTTGAAAAGTTTGGGGTTGGTAAGATTAGAAAATGTTTGAGTCACCTTTGCTCACCATTAGATTAAAAATACTGTAAAAACACAAATATTGTGAAATATTACAATTATATTTTAAAATGTAACTTTTTCCTGTGACTGCAAAGCTGCATTTTCAGCATCATTACTCCAGTCTTCAGTGTCACATGATCCTTCAAAAATCTTTCTAATATGATGATTGGCTGCTCAGAAAACATTTATTATTATTATCAATACTGAAAACAGTTGTGATGCTTAATATTTAGATATGCTAATGTACATGACAAAATAATTTACTGACTGAGATTTACAAGAATTAACAGTTTATACACTGATAGCAGAATTGCTTATGTGTTGACAGAGTTGTTGGTAGATTTTGGAGTTCACACAGTGGAGAGGTGACATTTCTATCAGTTAATTTGCCTTGGTTATGTATCAGTCAATCACTAGCCATATTATCATCTCTATTCCATTTTCATTGGGATAAACTGGATAACATTCCTTGTTTTTGTTGCCAATAGACAGCTTTTAACATCAGACTGATATTCTGTTCCAGCACATGATCCCACTGAGCAGACAGAGATGTTCAAAAGAGTGTTGTGCAGAAATTAGAGTATTACCTGCTGTTATTTATGCATCATAGCCCAAGTCTGTTAGTTCTCTGCCAACCCCGCTGTGGAATATAAGCTATTCCTCCAGCGAAGCTTCTAAAGCATCAGGCTGCACCACTGAGCGCATGATGACTGTATTTTCATCCTCCCACCCGACTGAAGTGTTGCCTAGGCCTGCGGATGTAACCCCAGAATCTCACAGCGACTCCCTGAGCCTGTGAATCATAGCTGTCCTTGCCTTGGCCTACACACCGCCAGCCGTACTGTGTGCGTCAGGCAGTCTGAGAGATGCTCTCTTGCTGGGCCTCAAAGAACACCTCTCCTCGCTGCTTCCTCTCAGGCCTCTTCCAGCTGTCAGAAACCCGACAGCGAGTTTGATGTCTAATGTGATGTAGGTCTCAGCCTGTCAAAGCATGAGTCGAGCTGTAGAAACAGGCAAAAATAGTGTGTTATGAATGCAGTTTCTGACACTGAACTCCAAAATTACCAAATCCACAGTGAATTCATCACTGCTGTTACCTTTTTTAAAGTTTAAAATAACAAATTAAATTAAAGCTGCAAGCAGCGTTGAAAGGGCCCTCACACCCAGAGCCACCTCCAACCGATGGCTTTTGGAAAACAGTGAATGGTGGGCAGCATGCATTTAAAGTGGTAAATATAAGAGGAGTATGTCATTTATATGTCATTTATATTCACCAAACTTCTTGCTGCCAGCTGGTGGCGCTATGATTATAACTGAATTTTGGCATGTAGATGTCTTCAGGCCAGGACTCTTACTAAACATGTCAAGTTTGGGGGCAGATTGGACACTGCATGTTTTAGTTCAACTAAAGCAGGTGGCACTGTGATTATAATGGGATATTGGTCTTTAGATGTGTTCAGGCCAGGATTGTTATCGAACGTGTGAAGTTTGGGGCAGATCGGACATTGTATGGCTGAGGTAAAACGACTTCCTTTTCCATGGCGAAACTTCGAACTTTGTCAGGCTACCACGGACACGCCCTTTAGCGAAAACTCAAGATCTTTGCAATTTAACATCTCAAAGGGCTTTAGATTAGACTGACCAAATATAATGTTTATGTCGTTAAATCTCTAGGAGGAGTTTGTTACAGCGTAAAACATGTCAGTTCCTGTTGCCAGCTGGTGGCGCTATGACTATAACTGAATATGGGCATGGGGATGTCTTTAGGACAAGACTCTAATCAAACATGTGAAGTTTGGGGCAGATTGGACATTGTATGCCTGAGTTATAACAACTTCCTGTTTCAAGGCGAAACATCGAAATTTGTCAGGCCGCCACGGACACGCCCTACAACAAAAACTCAAGATCTTCGCAATTTAACTTCACAAAAGGCTTTAGATTACACTGACCAAATTTGGCGTTGATCTGATTAAATCTTTAGGAGGAGTTTGTTAAAATAAAATGCTTGAAAATGGCAAAAATTAGAATTAAATTAGAAATAACTGACGTCCTGTTGTGTTTCGGATTTTGCTCCAAGATACTTTTTTGTAGGTATCGGGACGTTACATGTGTCGAGGGGCACTTCTTTGATGTATAGTTGTATATAGAGTGTATAGGTGCCATTTTGCCACACCCACTTTTAAAACCTATATCAGACGTACATTTTCACCACTTCTGGTGTGTGTGCAGTTTCATGAGATTTCGAGCATGTTTAGGACCTCAAAAAATGTGATTCATTTTGGAGAAGAAGAAGAAACAGAGCAATTCCAATAGGGTCCTCACACCGTGGTGCTCTGGCCATAATTAATCATTAAGGGTGTTTTCACACATGGCTCGTTGTTTCGGAACCTGGCGCGTTTCCCCCCTTAGCACGGTTCGTTTGGGCATATGTGAACACGGCAATCGCACTCAGATCCGCGCCAAAACAATCGGTCCGAGATCGCCTGAACGAGGTGGTCTCGGCTCGATTGAAAACGAACTCTGGAGCGGTTCGGTTGTAGTGAGAAAGCAATCCGATCCAACGGACCAACGAACCAGGCTATATCACAATGTATAATGGGTAATTACGTAAGTTCCGTGAAAAGCATTAGCTTTGTTGTTTTGCTAATACCTCAAAATGAACCTGTGAATGTCTGTGGGTGAGCACGTCTTTGCCATTCAAAAATTAAAGCACACTTTTTTGTTTTATAATGCCGTCTTATTACTCTTCTTTGTAGTAGGTGCATTTTAAAAATGTTTTCCCAATCAATCCTGGACTCCTGCTCAAAATGATAAATTATTATTAACGACAGCTACAAAAAACCCAACAATAAGCCCGCAAAGCTGATATTGTTCCATTCTGACAGATGACAGCTGTGACAGCTCAGTGGAATCCCGGAAAATAAACCGTGGAACTTTGACCAATGAGAGAACAGTTAACGCGCAGGTGACTTGTATTAACAAATTTGGTCCATTTAGAAACTTTGCTGTGTGAAGCGAACCGCACCAAGAATAAAAAGCAACATTGTAATCATTTGAATCCCTGTTTCGGAGCAAAGCAATCGATCTACAGGTGTGAAAACACCCTAAGTGTCCTGGGTTTTTATTAAGGCTGGGTCATCTGGAAAATTAAGTCTCCATATTTGTTTGAAATTGTAGCAAATATTTATTTTGATACTTATGCATTTGATCTGAATTTTTCACACTAAGCTAAAGGTACCGTCATTTTGACAAAATCTAGATAAAGCAAAATAAAGCATGTTTGTTAAATTAAAACAAAAATGTTTTATTATTATTATTATTATTATATAATTATTATTTAAAATATTTGTAATATTTTATTACAAATAACCCTAAACCTAAAACCTAAACCCTATAGCAATAACAATGTACACTGTAAGTAGGCCTATGTCACCTTAAAATATATTTTTTTATATGCACCAACATAAATACCAGTATCCAATAACAAGACAAGTAAAAACACAATAATAGACATCAATAGTTACCTGCATTTTGTTTAATAAAATGTCAAAATATGAAATGCGTTGTAAGACTTCTATTTATTCTTTTTTTAGTTATGCAAATTATTTTGAATTTGAATGATTTTGAGTTCATTGGAATAAAAAGCTCATCTAAGCCATCAAAAGATTTATAATGTTGCAAAATTTTTATATTACTAGCAAAATTCTTACAAATGCTATGCAAATATTCAATATATCAGCCATAGTTTGTATGATTGATTGACTGTTTCTAACAGCATGTTTGTGAGTATCCAAAAACTATCCCGTTGCTTACTTTGCTCTATGTGTGCTTTTATTTTTCCCGGGAGGCACAGAAGGTGAATAACCCTATGAACAGTCAGGCTGATGGTCCAACGAAGAACGATAAAGAGGAGGCCCCAGCCAGTGAGGTGGGCTGGATGACCTCAGTCAAAGACTGGGCGGGGGTCATGATCTCAGCACAGACCCTTACCGGCAGAGTTCTGGTGAGATGGCTACACACATACACCCACAGCAACATCACCAGATGCCCACAAACATCCCTCCAGAGCATGTGATCCTCATATATTCATTTTGACTAAAAATTATGTTTTCTCACTGATTACTTGGAACTGACATCTCATAAAACATTTGTCACATGCTGTGACACAGTTAGCACACTGCTGATTAGGACTGGGCGGTATGACGGTATATATCAACAGATTTTGCTATATCGTGTATTCCGCGGTATACAAATATATCTGCGTAACATAATAGTACTTAAAAGTCATATATCTGCGTAACATAATAGTACTTAAAAGTCGTATACACATTTGAGTGATACGGAAACATGCATGGATGAGAAAATAAAGAGTGGGGCGCACTTGGTAGAGTTAAGTGCAACAAGCAGTGAAAAATAACTCAATGTGGTGCTTGTGCTGACTGACACACACGAAGCACACACTCAGAAAGCGCCTCTCTCAGACCGCATGCGATCAAGAATTTGGGACGTGCATGATCAGAAAACAGATCTCTTTCATGCTTGAATGGTCAAATACGCACACAATTATGTCAAAATGCCATTGTGTGGAGTAAACATAGTCAGTGTAAGGATAAAAGAAACTCAGATACTTTGATCTCCTGAGAAACAGACAATACACTGGCATCTTCAAGACACCCCACAGAGGTGCATCAAGACACCCCATGCATCAGTGCCTTTTCATCTGCTCCCTCCACTGGATTCACTCAGAATGGTCAATAGTATAATGTTCTATATGAATGCAAATAAGATTTACAGTCATGTTTGGTTTCATTTGAATAGTGTCAGGGTGAGTGGTACAATGGTCTTAATCTTACAAAAATAGACTACAGATCCATAGAGTTAAGAGATATTTTGATTACCGTAGAGAGTCATTCCATGTAAATTACCTTCTGTTTCCCATTGAGGTGTAAACTAGCCACCCAGATACCAATTGTTTGTACATGCCTCCACTTGGGGGATGTTTTATCTTGGTTTTGTATTTAAAGGATTGCAGCAAAAGGGTCAGGGCGATTCTGTAGCCAGAGAGCCCGTAGTAAGAAGTGTGTCCACACACTTCACACTATGTATTTTTCTAAAAGGTCAGGTATGCATCTTACTCTTAGATTTGTTTATGATAATTTGATGTATCGTATTGATTTGATTTCTTTGAATTGGCTATGTAGATAATTGGCATAATACATATTTACCTGACTGATAATAAATTGTTACATTTGACTCATTCTGACGTACTCTGAAATTATTTTCTCAAGTTGATTAAGTGAAGGCGTATGTTTCCGCAAATCTGCGACCAGGGATACGTGCATACTAAATCTCAGGTTAGATGGAGCATGGGCACATCAGTACTCAGTTGCGTTAACCATGTATATGATTTCAGTGTTAATTAAGTTGTACAGAGTTATATTAACTATCGGGGGCTAGGCAGAGGGTCTAGTAGAACCGCTGATTAATATTTGGAGTGTTAATTAAGTTGTACGGAGTTATTTTAACTATCGGGGGCTAGGCAGAGGGTCTAGCAGAACGGCTGATTAATGTCTGAGTATTACATGGGTAACTGTAGGGGGCTAAACAGACCTACTATTTAAAGCATATTAAATAGTATTAGCCACAAACCTCTGATTAAGGGTCAAACTGGCGAGTTTAAGCGACGTAGATTCCTAATGAACGAGTAAAATACAAAGTAAAGAGTTAACTAGAATAATCAAATGTCAGAATAATTAGAGACCGACAAACAACCAATTTGCCTTTCAACCTAAATTCGAGGTCATACTAAAATGGAGTCAGACTTGAGTTAAACCTAAACTGAATACTCTGCACGCTGAAAAGACCGAACACGCAAGTGACCTTCATCCACCACTGGATAACTTCCTTGGGCCAAGTGCGTGGACCTTACATCAGTTATGTGTTAAATAAAAAGAAACCGGTGAAATCACGATGTGTTTCAGTATATTGGATCCGTGCAGTTGGTCTTAAAGGGACGGCACCCTTATTTACCTGCTGCTGTCTGTCATTATTAATGTTAATCACTCTCTGCACTTGACTGAAGATTATTCAGTGTTTCATTAAAACACTTTATTCAATTTCTGTAATATTTCTTACTACATGTTAAATAAGCCTACTGTAGCTGAATAAATTTAAAGTTTATTTTATATCTATTTGTTCTATTGTGTTTGTAATTAAAACTTAACAAATTCGGCAATTACTCTTTACTTAGAAGACATGTTAGGGTTCTTTGGAGATGTAAATGTTCCAACAAGCCTGCTTGATCAATTACCAAAGAAAAATGCCAAAATTATTCAGCAAAATAAGATTTTCTTATCAAAGCGATAAAATGTTGTGTTGCAAAAATGAGTACACCCTCCTGAATGTTACTAAAAAAAAAAAAAAAAAAAATATGGAATAGGTTTAAGGCTATTTTTGATCGACAGGTAAGTATATTGAACCAAAACTTTTAAAGACAATTAATTTCCTGACAATTAAAAGTGTTATGTAGCCCACTGAATCATACTCAGACTTAATGCTGGCAGCAGTGGAACCACTTGGGAGAGAACTGTCAGGTGACATATTTCTTAGCACAAAAGAGGACAACGGTACGAGAGGAATACCAAATTATTGTTTTAAGTGTGAAAATATAGCAGAAGTAGCACCAACATTCAAAAACTATGGACTTGTGATAAGGCTCCTGAAATAATGAGGTCTTCACTTTAAGTTTTTTTTTTTAGTGATGAGTGAATTTTTGCTTGAAAAAGAGCAGGAGAAATAACATGCAAGTGTCTCAGAGCCGGCAAAAGCTGTGAAAAGAGTGACACGTTATCTCACAGAGTATGACGCAGCATGCAAAAGTGACATGCATGGTTGTTGTCACCACTAGAATTATCTACTGTAGCCAAAGCAAAATAAACTAATTTAACCTCTTCCAGGGCCCATATTTACAAAATAGAGACTTCTGGGAATCCATACTCTGGTCTCAAGAGACCAAGTCAATCATTTCGGATCCAAAAGCATCCAAAATGTTCTGGTGTTGCTAGAGGAGGAGTACAGTGAGAAGTGCTTGGTACCCACAGTTACGTTCAGTGGTAGTAAAGCTCTTCAATAGGGATGTATGAGTGCTGAAGGTGTGAGGGAGTTCTACTTTATCAATGCTGGCATGAATTCACACACCACAGTGTGATGTAATACAAAAACCTGAAACTGAAGATGCTACCCTCCCCTCATTCCCATAACATGCAAGTGTCTCAGAGCCGGCAAAAGCTATGAAAAGAGTGACACTTTATCTCACAGAGTATGACGCAGCCTGCAGAAGTGACAATCCTTTAGTGGACATGTATTTCACTCAATCTTAACACTCTTGAGCTGCTGTGAGAGATTCTGTAGAGACGAGCTGAGCAACACTCCCCATTAAAGACCAGAGCATTTAAGGAGGTCGTCCTCCAGGAGTTAAACAGGACAGATGTGAAAATTTGTCATGAGCTTGTACAAGAAGAGTCAGAGCAGTATACTTTAAGTTCTGGAGGACATATTAAGTACTAGAATATTATACTTTATATTTTCTAGAATATTTTCTGAGTTAAATCTAGGGTGCACTAATTTCTGCAATCCTTCATTTAAACAAAATTGGCTGATTTACTTATCTTACAGAAAATATTGGCATATATTTTGTTGTTTTTATTAAGTATATGTTTACTATGTTTCAATTTTGCCATCTTTCCATGAATTATATTAGTGATCATTAAGAAAATACATCTTTTATATTTATTCAGAGGGGGTGTACTCATTTATGCTGTGCACTGTACATCTGACTCTAGAGGTCAAGATTATACCCAGATGATGTACGGGTGTTTTGTTAAATGTGGTCTTATTAGCATGCCTCATGCAATAAAGGGCTTTTGGGAGTGCAGTAATACTGAATGGGAACTTGTGTGGGTGGCACTCGTCATCGCAGTTGTTAGTGCTAGACACGGACAGGTCAATTAGCTATGAACAATTGAGTCAATTTACCGCATAATGAAGATCATTTTATTTTGGGAACGTTATGCAAATGAGAGCAGTCCTAAATTTATGTCCTTCAGCAAATTATGGATGAAATCAGTTTTGCTTTGTGGTTTTATACTCTGGTGTGTCTGCATTTCTGAAAGCTTTAACCTCATGCACCAGTAGCATGTCCTTCATTTATTGTGACTTGAATATTTTTCTTCCAGTTCTGCATCTCATCTTTCAGGTGGGGTGGCCACTGTACATGACCAGATTGGGAAGCAGGGCTCTTAGTAGACCAGTCTAGTCTAGTGTTTCTCTTTTAGTGCATGGCTGATCTGTAATGGGCCGTTCACACTGACAGCAATTAAATCACTGATGGATGTTCGCAGTGCTGCGGTTGCCATTAGACTTTCCTACTTGACTAGTGTCTAACTGTAATCAGCAGACTATGAAATTAACTTCATTAACCACAGTGGCTGGTCAATAAAAGCCTGATGTGGCTAGAGATTTTTATTTATTTATTTTTTCCAAGTAAAATATGCAGCTAAACTCAGAGAACCTCCTATATAGTGTTTTCATGGTAAGCAGTGTTTCCCCTGCCATTATTTTAGGGGGGTGGCAAGGTATAGAACATGTCTATACCTTGTTCTTTCATTAAGCAAACTAAATAGCCTTATGTTATTTATCTTATTTATACGACGGCATGTCATTTCAGTCGCTACGTTATGGTCGCGCTCTCTGCATCACGCACAGCAGAGTTCTGCCCGATGCGCACGCCCACACACACACACACACACACACACACACACACACACAAACACAAACACAAGTAAGCCCACTCCGATTCATATTTAAATATGAATTCTGCGTGTCTCTGTGTTAATGAATGGCGCAGACGCGCGGTTTTGTGTAGTACTCGTACTAAAACGCCTGTGATGCTTCCGGTGATATTAACCTCTGCCGTCTCACTAATGAAGACATAAATACATGAAC